AAGACACCGACAGATCCATGATGATGGTGCAGCTAGTCTCATGCTTCATGTTGCTGGCCTTACTCCAGATGCTACCAGGCTACGGCAGCTCCCAGACAACAGCACAATCATTCTTGCGATGGCGCACCGATGGCACGCTGCCGGGCCGTTCACACCTGCTGCAGCGCTGCCACCATCAGCTATCTGTCCACATCTGCTTATACGGAGGGGTCCAATTGCTAACGATGCAACGAACGGTGCCCGCACTCAGCCTGGTTTCCACCACTCGCTCGCTCACACGAAATACCACCTCTTGTTTCCAGTGTGCTTCTCTGCAGGTGATCTCAAATGTTCTCCGGTTGGATTTTACACTAAAATGTCATTTTTGGTTTTCGGGGAAAGTCAGCAGGATTCTGACCATCTAATGGCAAGAAGGAGGTAAAATAATTTAAAATGATAACGTTAAAGAATCAGCTGACAACTGGCACGCTAACAATAAAATCTGATCAGCTGTTTCTGGATTTAAAAATACTTTCCAGCAGGTTTGGGTGTTTCTTTTCTGTGCTGTAGCCGCCTGAACAGCCTTGGTTTAGAGAAATGGAGATCATGTATGGCATGATTGTTAAGCTAACGGCTAATCTGAGAACAACCAAGACCAAAATGTATTTCTGTTGTTTAAAACTGCTCCTGCCGGCAAACTCCTTCAGTGCTTCATGCAACAGTAGTTTATAAACATTTGCACCTGTGTCTAGTTTACTTTATAATGTTATTTACATGAAATAAACTCATTTATGAATATCACCAGCAGCTGCAACCTTGTTCACCTCTCTGGAAGCTTTATAAATGATGCATTTGATGCTAAATGAGCAGCTTTGTTAGAGTTGTATAGTTGCACCTGATAGGTACGTTATGAGCTATTTCAGGATGACGGTAATGGAGCGGCATTGTTGCACCACATCCACAGGCTTTGCTTCTAAATTATGCAGGCATAGAAGTACATGTTTAGAAATTAATCTGTATTATATTGACTGATGTGTAAAGGTTTATATGATGACAGTGAAACAGTTTAGCTTGCCTGTGTTCAGACTAGCCGTTAGCACATCAGTCCTGAAGCATGTGACATGTTCTCTGTACAGAGGCTGTTCAGGAAGTGGTCATTTATGAGTTTTACGTACAGAATTAGGCCTTTGTTTACTTTTAAACCTGTTTATTCTGAAGTACCCTGTGATTCTGTCAGACGCGGTCGGACCTCTGCAGCGTAAACAAGGATGCTGGAACACATCAAGTTTTCTTTCCTTAATAAAATGATAAAGTGACATTAGTTTGACGTCAGGAAGTAATACAGGAAGGTTTAATTAAAGGGCAACGTAAATACATCAAAACGTCCCATTATCCATGATTAAAATAGCCTTTCTAGGGTCCGTTCTGCTGGAGCTCTACTTTGATCAGCTGCAGTTAAAGACGTGACTGGAAATGAATGACAAGGTAGCTGTGCATAAAGTACGAGCATTTCATTCACCGACTCTGTTCTCAGTGTGAGTCAGGCTCGTTGGTGAAATAGCCAACCGCCAACATCAGACTGTAAATGAGGACTTTCTGATTTAGTGACTTGTGTTTCCTGATTGCTACTCGTGCATATTAATATCAAATGTATGGCTGACTCATTATTCATGAAACTCTGGGCTGGTTTGGGTTAATTAACTTTCATTATTTTCTGTTTTAGCCTGACAGACTTTCCCTTTTTTCCTCCATAATGATTCTTTTTCATGCAGCAGTGCCTCTGTTTTTGTCTAGCAGCCGTGACACACCTGAGCTAATCAGCTGTCACCCTCCAATTACAAAGGCTGGGAAACCGCTACGGTTCCAGCCAGAGTCTCCAATCTTCCCTCGCCTCCCGCTGCTTGTTACATTTACATTTTAAGCTGACGGTTTTACCCATGAGACCTAAAATGAAGGAAGTGAGACGAGCCAACATCAGTGACTCTGTGTGATTTTCTATCTGGTCATTTTTATCCGTGACGAAGGAAACTGCGAGCCAAATGGTGTTTCTTTTTCCCCTTTTTCTTCCTCTGATGAAGGAAATAAATGTTCACTTTATGCCAACTTTTCAGTGGAAATGCAAATGGAACGCTCCTCAAACGGCTGTGATGAACGTGTGAATCTCTGTGTGTCTGAGTGTTTGGAACAGCGCCGTTACAAATACGTATGAAAAGCAGCGTGGTGTCGCGGGAGAAGTCACCTCTGGTGTTGGAGTTGATTCTGCATGTTGTAGCATGAAGTGACTCATTCATTAGCGACCCCACTGCAGGTAAAGCCCATCCCCCCATCTCCCTCCTCGTTAAATCTTTCTTTCATCTTTCGCTGGCCGGTGCCCTCATGGCCCGTGCCGTCGCTGCAGCTGCGGTGAATTGATTTGGTGATATATTTTTATGTCGGGGCTTTGCTGTTTAGCCGGAGGGGGAGAAGCCTCGTTTAAATCCAGTTCTTCATGTGAGGTGGAACAAGGCTGCCAGGAACTCTCATTAGGTTTGCAAAGCCAGTATTTGAGTCTAAACTTGCTTTGAACGCGGAGTGTGGTCACATGACCAGGAAGAAATATTACAGCTGAAACAAAACAATCACCAGCGGCCGGTCCAGGCACCCTCCCTCTTTTCTTTCTTTTTCAGACACGCTTCAGAGTTCCTCAAGTCCATTTTGTTTCACTGTGTCTGGAAGAATTATAGCTCACATTCCTCAAGGCTGCTCTCTAATCTTATCCGGAGAGGAGAGAGGCAGAGATGAGGGAGGATAAAGGAAAGAGAAATGACTGAGAGACACGCTGGCGTGTCAACAGTCGGGATGCTCGAGCTGTCTGTGTGTCCCAGACGTGGAGCAGGAGCTCCGACCAACAAGTGGGAGCAACAGTGCAGCAGCTGGTTTTAACGGTGCAGCGAAACACAAAAACAAGACAGAAGATGCTTTTTCTTTTTTCCACTAATCTGTATTCATTTATTTTAGTTAAGCTTGTTAAAGGGATACGATGCAACGTAGTCACATTTTTAATGGTTTTTCGGGAGACAGCATGTGCTAAAATGTCCCTTTACCGGGTTAATGAAACGTCTCCCAGATCCCCATTGCTCTCTGTGGCCAGAATCCTGCATTTGCAACTTCAGAGTGCCGGCCCGGTCTGTTAAACGGAGCTGACATACCTGGCGCTGCAGTCTGCTTCCAGCACACTTCCTGCATGTTTTAGATCAGGAACACAGCTGGTGTGTTTAATTTAGTGATGAATCACTCCTGTAGACCCTAAGAAAGGCTGGGGAGACATTTCAGCGGTTAGATTAGGGTGTTAAAAAATAAACGCACAGCAAGGAGATACGTTTAGCTTTTGGTTCGACTAGACGGACACTGGCGGGCTAAAAGCAAGCCAAAACTGCCTAGACTCCCCTTAAATTAAGCGTAAATGCTTCTGGTTACCTTCGTCTATTGTAAATGTTCCTTACTGCAGCAGCTTAAAATCTATCTTCATCCTCAAATCCTGTCAGGAGACATCAAACTCCTGCATAGCAAGGTATCCGTGTGTAAGTGTCATAGTCAGTGATTAGTACATGTCATTTAGATTAAATAGTCATATGAGAAAAATATCAACAGAATTTTATTAGCAGCGACGCACACGTCTGTATTATGTCATTAATATGTTTCCTTTAAAGTTACAGAAAATCATGATCATCACTTCCCTGCTTAGGGTGCAACCTATGCGCTAGAGAGCTAGCCAGGTGCCAGCTCCTCATGGTGAAGCAACACCCAGGCAGGAGGACGGATGGATCAGAAAATCAGGAATTGTGTTTATTCAAAGTCATTTTTTGTTAAAATGCAACTTTCATACAAACTACACATATTAAAATAGTTGATTTACTATCAAATATCGATATAAATAAACAACATGTGTTACATCTTTGCATCTTTTTGAGTGAAAAGTATATTTTAGCAAAGTTAGCATATGTGCTAATTTACACTAAAACCATTAAAATAGTTTTTTGAACTCACGTTGGAACAATAATACATTGAATATATGTACTTCAATAAAGTTTGAGCAAAGGCGGCTGAACTTATGAGCGCACTTGTGAAGCTTTTAGTGTCTGTAGTGCTCATATCTATCGTGGAGTACAATTAGAGAGGCAAAGCTAAGTGACATTTCACTGACTGCATGGCTCCTGATTTACCCTTGACTGCAGACCGAGAACATCTTTAAAAGCTTCATGTACGCCATGTGCATTTATACATTTATGTCGTCATATAGACGAGTTTAAAGAGGACCAATGAAAAACACAATATGAACAAAGTGGCAAACATGAGGATGCTCGACCGCCTCAAACCAGAGCGGAGAGCGTAAGAGGACGTAGCTGCAGAAAGGCACAAGAGTTTGAGTCTTTGTGTGATTTTGTTTTTACAACTCTCTGCAACACCTGAACCACACTAAAGAGACAGGCTGCCGTGTTGCAAAACAAAACAAATCTGATCTTGTTTTAGATTTTTATGCTCCTGCATCCAAACTTGACCTTTCCCCTCTGATCCTTAGATGTTCTCTGAGGGTTCGAAGCTGCAGGAGCAGAAACAGACTTCCTCTCAAGAATAAATAAATGATTTAGCTGGAAGCCGTCGTTAGATGTTCGTGCTCAGGAAACGGGCTCGCTCACACACTCTGAGGATAACTCAAGTGCAAACCTAATTAATTTTAGCTGCAGCTCCTTCTGAAAGAGTCTCCTAATGTCACGGTGAATCAAAGGTGTGCAGCGCTGTTCTTGCTCTGTATCGATTGTCTCGTCTGGGAGAGTAAAGGAGCCGCCTGACGGAGTTTCTAGTTAAAACCAATTAAATTAGTTTCCACTGACTAGAGCTTGAAAGTAAAAAGCTGTGACTTGTTGAGCAGTTTCATCTTAAACTGTTTCTATAAAGTGATGCATCAAAGGCTTTGTAACTGACTCCTCTTTTCCACTTTTCCTCTCCTTTCTCGTCTTTCACTCCTCTTTCCACCCATGCAGGCCTGTAGATTCTGCTGAAATCTCTCATAGTCCCTCTGCAACACTGAACAGCAACGACTTATCTCCCTCACGCGGCCCGGCTTAGGAGAGAAGAAGAAGGAGAGGCTGAAGGAAATCTTCTCACCACGACAAATCAAACGAGCAAACACACGATATCCTCACTGGCACAACCACGGTTTGGCTTTCCTCTCTCATCCTCCGCCACTCTCTCCTGGTTGCATCTGTCCTGCTCTACCTCAGTCTTCTCTCATCTCATCTGATGTCCCTCTCCTTCTATGACTGACTTTCACTCTGTCCATTCTCTCCTTTCACGTTGGGCTTCTCCCCCCAGAGTATTTGGTTTTCTCTCCTCTGTGTTGCACTGACAGGCGTACGCTGGCTGTTAGCAGTGTTAACGGCCGCTGTAGGAGATACTTGAACCAACATGTATATTGATATTGTATCAGAACAGAATCTATTCCACATCAGATCTCTTTGCTCCTCGTAGTTCATCTCAAAGTTCTGGCTCGTACCTTTTTGCCCTCTTCTCCTGATCTTGGCTACCTCCGTAGTTCTGCTGTAGCCTCCCGTTTCTTTTCCGTCCCTATGCATAGACATCTTTCCAGCATAGACGCGCCCCGCCCTCCTGTGCGTCTGTTCACCTCTTCATCTCCGACTCGACCAGGTAAAACTGCTGCCCTGGTCGTTGGAGAGCGTTGACTTGTTGACGTGTTCCTTTGTTTTCTCGTCACAGACTGTGTTTGGTCTTGTTTCGCCGAGAGAACGAAGCCCGTTTCCTTTTGTCTGCGGTGGTTTGTGGTGTTTTAGGACGAGGTTGTAGCCATAAGCCTTCAAAGTAAGAAACTCTGGAGTCGATTCTGCGATTTGCTTTTTGTTTTTATTGCATTATTTGTCATGGAGTGGAAAACAGTATATCCTTGCAGTAATGGTGTAAAACTTAAAAAAGGTATTATTAAATAAATATTTTATTTTTTACCATTGTATAAATATACAGTATTGATTAACTTATGTACTTTTTTTGCTAGTTCTTTGATCACCCCCACAGTCAGTGAGTCACAAATGAGGAAACCTTTCTTTCTGTGAGTTTAGGTATTATTTCTAATGCTATTGCTGTGTTCTCTATTTTATTGTAACATCTTTCTTATTTGTTTGTTTTTGTGCTTGTTTACTCCTTTAAAATCTGTGATTGATTGCACAATCGGGAGTGTGGTTTTGTTGACTGCCTTTGTGTTTGGATTTGATTTGATCTCCCGTCGGTTCTGCCTCTCCCCTTCTGTGTCCATCTTCATTCCAAGTCACAGGAAGTTTGTGTGAGAAGAAAACAAAGACTGTGCTTTTGTGGCTAGTTTAGCCTTTTTCTCTTGCGCTCATCTGAAGAACTTGGCGTGTATGGGTTTTTTGGAAGACCACCTTAAAGAAAAGATGACATTTGAATGAGTTACGTCTGTCTTTTGCACTAATTTAATAAAGCCGTTACTGAAAGGTGCCGCGGTGCCGTGTGTTTTCTCTCACGACGTCTGGCGTCTCCTCGTGGTGGGTTTACTGTCTTCTGCTTTCACGATTCTTCATTACACCAGGTTCTTTTGCACTTTTCACACCACTGAGTTTAATACGTGTTTCATGTTGGAAATAAATGATGAGATCAAATTTATAAGATATAAAACAATCTGGTGGTCGTGGAAGAGATGTTAGTCAGATCACTGCATGCATCAAGCAGAGGAAACATCTGAGATTGCAGAAACAACTAAAACGGGACTAAGAACTGTCCGGCGCATTATTAAAACTGGTCTGATGAGTCCGGATGAACCAGGGTGAGAAGAGAGGCAGATGGACGGATGCACCCATCATGCCTAGTGCCTACTGTACACGCCTGTGGGGGCAGTGCCATGATCTGGGCTTGCTGCAGGCGGTCAGGTCTAGGTTCGGCAACACGATGTGCTCCAAGAATGAGGTCAGCTGACTACCTGAATGACCAGGTTGTTCCATCTTCCCCGATGCCACGGGCATACGCTCCAATGACAGTGGGCCAATCTGCTCAGGAGAGAACCTAAAGGCGGCAGAAACTCAGAACAAAAACAGCGTTGATGAACAAGAGGAACTGCAACAACCACCGGTTTAAAGCGTGGGATCCTTTTTTAGTTCAGACCATGTTTTATTCTGAAAGAGAACCCAGAACACATAGATGTGAGTTTACATGTTTTGGATCCTGATGATAGATGCTGGTTGAATGCTGATGTTGGCGCTACAGTAAACATTTGATGTATCTCCTCAAGACGGGAGAAAAGGTTCAGAGGTTTGGATATGGAGCAAAAAGGAGGGAAGGGTACAAAAACATCTAAAGAAACACAGCTGAACCCTTTTCTGTTCATTTCTCATAACTCTTAACATCAAATCTGTTCGTCTGGGACTTCAAGTCAAACTATTCTGTTTCTTTATTCCTCCAACACAACGTCGGATGTTATTTCTGTTTTTGTTTTAAATGCCAGCTCACTTACCAGTGAGGCTAATTAACACTTCCATGCCTTTTATTGGCATTTTTAATGAGCAGCAAGTTCAAAACTGTCTTTCTTTGCGTTCGTGTCACCTTGTGACTGAAATGAGTTTACAGGAAACCATTTTTACTTATTGGTTACTTTGAGTTTAACATACAGGCTGTACGTGAAAATGGCCTTCTACCCCTATTTCCTACATTAGTTTCTAATAGAAAACACTCAGCTCAGAAAAGCCTGACAGAGTTACGTCACACTGTCACTACACATTCACCCATCTTGACCCACGACACAGAAGGCTGTTGTTGATTTAGCGTCCAGGAAACAGAAGCTAATCGTTAGCATTAGCAACTCCACCGCCCAGCAGAACTCCTTCAGGCGTTTGTTATTTGTGGAGATAAAACATCAACGTCAGGCGCTCTGCTGTCATCCAATCCGAAGCAAACTAACCAGATATCAGTAAATGTGACTCTAAATCCTTTCACTTTCTCCTCCGGGCGACTTCTATGTCCTGAAACAGGAGAATCAAAGCTTTTTGTGCCAGAGCACAACAAGGCATTCATTCCTACTACAGAACACTGCAACTGTAATATAAATGTGAGTAAAGTTGACCTTTAGTTTGAATGTGGGTACATTCTGTTTAAGCCGATAAAATCAGTTTGACGCCTCAGTCAAGCTGGTTCGGATGATCATAAAGGGTCTGTTATTTGTGGTTCATATTTAGTGTGATAAACTTTTCAACATAGATGTTTTAATGACCTCTCAGAGAAACTTAACCTCCTGCATTTCAAGGTAGAAAATAATTAAGCAGCAATATTCATAAAACACGATCATTCATGGTTGATGAGTACGACTTCAACGATTGCAAAGGCTTCCTCTTTGTTCCTCTTCAGGTTAAATGGCATCAATAAAGTATTTCTAATGATGTTTAGCACTCTGTTTGCTAATTGTTCTTGCATTCATGGTCAAATTTCAACTGGTGGTTTAAAAACACCGATTTGCGGGTCAAAATGAAAAATGGTTTCCACAATACAACTTGTCTGTGAAGGTTCTCAGTCATCAGGTTCTTTCAAAGCTCATTAGACCACAATACAACGTGTTTCTTGTGTTTAAACTGGACACAAAAGTTTGACTTTCTGAAAATGTCCCTGATTCTCCAGTAGGCTTGCATCCGTTTCTCTTCTGCAGCAATTTATTCATCTTTAACGTTGAACTCCATGCACTTGTGCTGCAAAGTCCCCGCCGTTCACAGCAAAGATGTGAGATAAAACAAAGATCCTGTGAAGACAAACTGACTGAAGTTTGTGTTCTGCTCCTAACATCTCCGGCGCCGTCTAAGCACCTGTATGCTCATTAGCTGTTCTTAGCAGATTTGTGTTTCCCTTTTATTTGTCTGGTTTCACGTCAGATGCAAAAGCATCAGAGAAAAGTCTCTCAAGAGCTAACCGAGAGGGAGCACAGGACAGGACGAGGACGGGTGTTTTAGGTCTAAGTGGTTAAACACTGGGTTTTTAGAGTTACAAGGTTTAGAGAGGATACCTTTTCTTTACTTTATGATTTCAGGTGGCTCATTATTTGATCATTTTTCCTTTGCTCGCTAATTAGAAGTGTCGTCCTTACAGCTTCCTAAAAGTTTGACTCCAGAAACATCAATGGCAGCCATCTCTCTCCCACTCAGCCACTCAGACTAATTTATTCCTTCCTAAACGACCATTTAGCACCTATTAACACAAGATCCTCATTTGTAATGGCTACTCGATAATCATTTTCCCACTCGTCCCACTTAGGCTTAGCAAGGTTAAGTAATGCCCTAAACCTATGACAAGAGTTGAATAGGCCATTGACAGACACTGAGGGTAATTACAGCTGCAATATATCCGACCTGGCCCAAAGGCTCTTCATTCTGGCCACCATCCATCAGCTGTTTTCGCTCACTCACCACTCTGACAATGCAGCATCACTTGTTTCTCAGCAGCCATGACGTCTACAAATCATCATCGTAGTGATGTGTGGCAGTGGCAGCAGAGAATACACCTAGTTTTTGATTTTTGGACTTTGCATCCTCTCCAGTAATGCCGCAGCTTAGACAGCTTTATATATCCATGTGTATAAATGTTCAAACGATTCTTAGCCTGTCAGATGGTTAATCTGTTAGCCTGGGCCCTCTGGAAGTGTTCATAAGGGTGGACATGGACCCCTGAGTCAGGTATGAACAAGCAGGAAGTGAAATCAAGATGAATCATTAAAGAAAGTAAAGAAGAGCACAAAAGAACAGAAAGGAAGAGGAATAACCATGAAACTACTTTTCCTCTCCCCTGTAGGAAAAGGCGTGGGTACCGGCTACGGATGCTTCATTTGGGCTTTTTAACCGATGTGTAAACCAATACCAATATCATATTACTATCATTGTTTTTAATGACGCGTATGCGTGTTTTAAATAGCTGCCTCACATGACTTGTGTTGATTTGAAGCGTTGTTTGTGCGTGTCCCCCGGAGTTAACGCGACACGTTCACAAGCTGCAGTTCAAGCGTCCGGCAGGCAGAGTTGACTGAACAAGCGAGTCTCACTTGCTATTGCCACGCCGTCGCTAGTGCAGAGGTCTTTCTTACCGTCACCTTTCGTTATTGAGGCCATGTTTGTTTTGGTTGTACCTTTCAAACCTAGGACCTGGTCTGACTTCTCTACTGTGCCCCCTAGTGGAACACTCCAGTATTACATGCAGCACAGCAGCAAGTATGTGAACAAAGATGCTGCCTGTGTCAACGCGAGGTGCTCGACAGATGAGCTAAAGTTCCACATGCTGTTTGGAGAAATTCATTTCAGATTACTGCTAAAAGTCAGCTGCAAGCCCGGCAGCTCTACTCGTAAAGAGAGCGTGCACGAGGATAAGGGTTCTTTCTCATGCACAATTTTTTCTCTAAGTATGGAGAGGGCGGAGCACTGACCCCCTTAGCGATAAGTACGTCGTGCTGTTCATTGTAGGTTAGCATGCAGAAACGGTTTGAACTGTAGATTCCTCTTCACGACTGAGCTCTGTCTGTGGAGTCTCATGTATTCACATATATTGGATCGCTCGCTAGGCTAGCACTTTCTGACTCATGGAAACTACATTTAAAATGATTCCAGGTGCTTTCTAGGTGCCCAGAATCAGTCACTCTTTTAATATTTAGAGAAGAAAAATTGCCTGATTTATTTGTACGTTTAAAATTCCAGCACCGTGACAACAAGGTCTGTGAATATTGCAAAGAAGTCATGAAACCCCGTCGCAAATACAGTTTGTTATATTTTGCCAACAATTGCAACCCCCTGCTGGCTTTAGTGATGATTGTGTGTGCTTTATGCAGCCATGTGTCTTAGATACCTGCGTTGGCCCGGTTACAGACTGGTCTGTTCAGAGAGAGCACCACCACCACTGGTCCAGGCTTCACCCCCTGCGGCCCTATGCATAGATAGATGTTTAAGAAAGGATGGGATCTGTAAGAATGGCGGTAACATCTTTAAGCTTTGATAAAAATGCATCAGATCAGAATGATTTGCAACAGAGGAGCATCCACACGGTTAAAGCTCAGTAGGCAGTACACAAACATGAAAGGGCATACATCTTTTGAACAAATGCTCGGTAGGAGATGCACACATGCGAGGAAGTTGAATCCGATATTACTCTTACTGCTTCTAAATGTCAGAGGGTAAAGCCGAATGCACAGAACTAGACATCAAAATATGCACAGGATGGTTTTAGTGTGCTCGTGAAATGTTACCCCACTTTGTGATTTGACAGCTTAGGGGCTTCTTTTTAAGCTTGAAGCATAAGAACCTATTTATTTGTCTGGCTAGCTGAGTGGGGCTCAGGAACTTATCTGATTTTACGACTGGTGCAGCTTTGATGCTTTAGCGTACGCAGTTACAAAACACTCCCTAAGATGGACGTACGCGTTTAAAAACCACACTCACACAAACAAACCTGTCTGCAGAAATACCTTTGCTAGAGCGTATGTC